AGAGATGTTAAGAGTGACGCCAGGGTTTCCTGTAACCTCCTGGAAGGGCTAAGGCAAGACACATACGACACGAGGTGCACAAAAGGCACGACAGACAAGTGACCCGACACATCCCCGGACCGCTCTGCCCTGTGCACCTCAGCATTGGGAGCCAAAGTGAGGCTTTCCCTTGAGGTGGCCTAAAGGGCCACTTCTTGAACCTCGCTACGTCCAAAGCAGACTCAAAACTTCCTGGCCACGAGTCCCAGCCCGGCACCCCGCTTCCATCCCCCCTCTGCGGATCGTAGCCTTTGAGTTAGCTCTCGGACGCCCGGGGGGTGAGAGTCCACACGGGCTGCCAAGGAATGCCGTCTCGTCGTCTGCCCAGTTCCTGCCGTCACCATGCTGCTGTCTCTTGATGAGCTACACGAAAAAGAACAGAACATCATCCCAGGATCTTAGCAGAACATCGGGCAAACCCTGACAAGTCTGCTACTCACGGTCTCTCGAGAACGCCCGCATCCCAGGGCCGCACGCTTCGGCCACGCCCGGAGCCAGATGCCATCATCGCGGGGCACGCCTGCGTTAGGAGGAGACAAGGTGATCTGTCACTGCCGAAACTCGAGCGGGCCCTCGCTCCTCCTCCCGACATCCCCAACTCACGGCAACCCCTCGGCTGTTGCTAAAGGCTGCCCGGATGGCACCGTCACGTGGAAAACGCCAAGGCTTCAGCACGCGGTCCCTTAACGCTTCCGCAGGGCTCACGGGAGCGGCGAACCAGGCCTGCCGGCCAGTCGGCGAGGGGGTCTCGGTAAAAGGTGCCTGGACCGCCTAAAGCACGCAAAGGAGAAGGGATGCTTGGAGTTGCAGCTGAAACTGAGACCTCAGCAATAACAACCGCTTCTCTCCACCCCTCACTGCTCACCTTGCCGACTTCGCCCTGACCGTGGATAGCTGGCTTTACATCCTAAAAATAACAACAAAGAACAGAGCTGTCACACAGTGACCGGTTCCAGGTCCCCTGCAAAGACAAACCGTGACTTACCTTCTCGCGGGAACACCCTTACCCTGGATGGGGCCCTCTGACACGGATTTCATCCATCCGCATCTGAAAGAAAGCAAAGACACAACTCAAAGTGCTGCAGGATAACTTCACAGCTCCTGACATCTTCTGTCAATCTAGGCATACTATCTAGACTCCAACTGCATTCTACATTACAGATCTCTAATTACAAATCCCTAATTACAGCTACCCAGGATTTGTCCATTTACACCTACAGCCAGCCTCTG